CTACATATTTCCCATAGGAAACTGGTGAATCTTCATCAGACCCAATCCCGAGACACACATCCACTGGTAACCTAGGTTCTCTTCCAAACATGAGGAAGTACGGCGTATACCCGGTCGCATTATTTTGGGTAGAATTGTATGAGTGAACTAACTGGGCAATGTGCTGGCTTTTTATTTATAAATGATTGCTGTTGTGCATTCAATGTGCCAAGCATATTAAGAAGTGTCCGGTTAAATCTCTCTGGTTGTGGGTCCCCTTGTGAATGGTATGGAGAAGTGCGGGATTTCTTTACCCCCAACATAGCCAACATCTCCTTGATCAAATGGCTCTCAAAATCCCACCTCTGATCAGAGTGTATTCTATTTGGCAGGCCATAGTGAACAAAATACTTCTCCCACAAGGTTCTCGCAACTGTCAAAGCTTTCTGGTGAAAGGCAAGGAAAAGCCTGAGCATATCGAGTGAAATGATCAGTAATGACCAACACATTACTTACATTTCGGGTGTCTGGCTCGATTGTTAGAAAATCAATACAGACTAAATCCAGAGGACCAGAACTGTGCATGTGGGACATAGGCGCACGTCTCTGAGGCAAAGTCTTCCTCATGATGCAGCGATCACAATTTTTACAGTAAGCTTCCACTTCTGCTTTCATCCTACGCCAGAAAAAATGGTCTCTCACAAGCGCAAATGTTTTCTCAAAACCTAAATGTCTGTTATTGTCATGCAAAGACTCCAAAACAGTACTGCGAAGAGCAGTGGGAAGCACAAGCTGCCTGTATCTTTGATTATTTTTCCCCTCTACCATCCCGTAGACCTTGATCCACTTCCAGACTGTTCCATTTTTTCTTTAAAGCCTTGGTTCAATTGGACACTTCCAGATGATTGCTTCTGACTAACTGCAAGCCTTACTCTATTCAGGCAAGGGTCATTTTCCTGAGCCTTCCTCAACTCATTTGAATCTGAATTCCTTGGCTCATCCTGAGTAAAGGAAACAACCTTTCCAGCAGCTTGGAGCATACCACTCTCAGGACAACATGACTCGGGTAAGTGAGCACTCTGCTGATACACTACAGTTGACTCAAGGACATCTCCCACTTCAACAGATTGGCAAAGAGTACGCACACCAGAAACTGGAATTTCCTTCCAGTTTCCTTCAGCTCCAGAACTGGAATGAGGCCGTCTTGACAGAAAGTCTGCATCAATGTTTTTCAACCCCCAACGGTACTTCAAGCTGAACTGGTAAGTTGACAGAGCTGCTAGCCATCTCTGACCCGTAGCGTCTAACTTTGCCGAAGTTAGGACGTAAGTCAGAGGATTGTTATCCGTTCTGACTTCAAAAGTTACTCCATAAAGATAGTCATGTAGCTTGTCAACCACGGCCCATTTCAATGCCAAGAATTCCAGCTTATGTGCTGGGTAATTCCTTTCGGAGGTAAAGGATTGCCACTGGGCGCAATCCTTCAGGATGTTGTTGATAGAGCACTCCACCCAGTCCATCCATACTGGCATCAACATGTAACATGTAAGGTTACTTACGTTCAGGGTCGGCAAACGCTAACACAGGAGCTTGAGTCAACCGAAGTTTCAGATCCTGAAAAGCCGTCTCACAACTGTCATCCCATTGGGAGCCAAATGGATCTGACAGCCTGAAGTACCCATCAGTAGCAGACTTCTTGATGTTCTTTCCTTGGCGTTTTTTTGTGGATAACTCTTAAGTAACTGGTTGAGGGGTCTGCAGTACTAGAGTACCCTTTTACGAACCGTCGATAGTACCCACAAAACCCAAGAAAGGATCGCAATTGGGTAACTGTCTGAGGTCTGGGCAAATTCACAACTGCTTCCACCTTGGATGGATCAGTGGCAATGCCATCTTGTGACACAATGTGCCCAACGTAAGTCACAGAAGTCCTGCAAAACTGGCATTTGTCCAGTGACAACTTTAAACCCTCCTCTTTAAGCCGATCCAGAACTTTGAACAAACGCTGATTGTGCCAACACTTCCAGAAAATTCATGTCACCCAATGTTTTCTCCATGACTGTCTGAATGGTTGCAGGGGCCCCACTAATCCCCTGAGGCATGCACTCAAACTGATAAAATCCTAGTGGGCAAATAAACGCAGTCTTTTCTTTATCAGTTTCTTCCATGGGACTCTGATAATACCTACTTCGCAAATCAAGTACACTGAACCATTTGCTCCTGACTAAACTATGGAGGGACAGTGTATTGATCAGGTATAGTACGTCTGTTCAATGTTCTATAATCAACACACATTCGCACTTTGCCGGATTTCTTAAGCACTACCACGATAGGAGAGGTATAAGGGCTTTGGGATTCAGAGATGATACCACATTTCTGCAATTCCATTAGATGGTTTCGCACATCTTGCAAATCAGCAGGAGGCAAACGCTGAGAACGTTCACGAAAAGGAGTTGAATCAGTAAGCCGTATTTCATGTTTAGTACTCTTTGAATGTCCAACATCCCATTCATGACAAGAGAATACATCACGTCTCTCCATCAATTTTTCACACAACTGCTGCTTGGCATCTTCAGGTAAGGGTGAATTCCCAAAGTCAAATGATGCAGGAGTTAGTGTACTGAACGACTGATTTTCGGCAAAGGTGGGCTGAGGTACAATATCGACAGGGTAAAGATGAGCAATTAGTGTGCCACGTTTCAGATGCACATCTTTAGTGGACATGTTTCTCACAGTAACAGTGACGATGCGATTAGATATCACAGAAACTGACTGCAATTCAGGTCTCACTAGCAAGTCATCTGAAACACTAGTGTCATCAAGCTGGTCTATCAGGACATGCACGTCTGTAGGTTTCACAAACATTTTAGGTTTTCCCTGAATGTGACGTGATTCTCCAGGCCCTACAACAATTTGTTTGTGTTGTGTGAACCACACAGCACCATGTCCCTCACAATCATAAGGTGAGCCATCAGACTTCTGAATATTCTTATAGACTTCTCGAACTACAGGATGTATGGACAAGGTATGTAAGAATTGATCACCCAGCTTCTGTTTACAAGCCTCAAACAAGCATCTCACTATATTGGTGTTAGTCCCTGGTTGAGAATCTGGACAGACATGTGCAAGAGTGTCAACAGCTTGTGGTAGTCCTACCACATTTTCGGTGAATTCAAGCTTAATGGGAAGATAACTGTCGTATGGGTATTTGTGTGAACTCCAACACCATATTTCAAGATTTTCCTCTCGCATTGTAAGTGTTTCAAGTACACGTCGTAAAAGCTTCAATAAAGGATGGTGACTTGAGAGCCACTATCAAGTAAAGCTTTTGCATAAACTCCTTCAATTTGGACTGGTACTTCAGAAGTTGGACCAATCAAGCCAGATGGAGTTCCCGAAGAACAAGCAATTTATTTTTCAGAACAAGATGTGGAACGGAATGGAAAAGGAGTCCTGTGCCGTTCCTCCACAGAGCTCTCTAGAAGTTTCCCAAAAACCTGCTCTGACTGATCAACTTTTGATTTACTTTCCTCAGGTTTTCAGTTCCTCGACACTCTCACTTTGTGTGACCATCCTCACCACACTTGTCAGAAAATTCCAGGCCGAGAAAACTTGGATGTGCTCTTCTTGTTGGAAGCTTCTGTAGCACTAGCATCGGGTCAGTTGCCTTTGAAGAATGTTCGGGAACAGGGTCAGTTGCAGCTGCCTTCAACAGCTTGAACATCTGTGTTGTGAGTGCACTCACCTCTTGCTTTATACTACTCAATTCAGACACGAGAGCCTGTGGAACAGAGGCAGCAGCAACCACTACTTTTCCCCCATCTCTAGCCCTGATCCAATCCTCTTCTTCCCTTACTTCTCGTAACAATTGCGAGAAACTAGGAGAATCACGCAAAGTGTCGGTCATTCTTAGACGTAGTGCAACCATATCAGTAGTACGAGCTCCCTTAACCACTTGATCCATACGCATGTGATTCAAATCAGTGGCTACAACCCCTCCTTTTACAAGCATGCGATGAAGGAGCTTGTCCAGCCTATAAAGAAAATCAGAAAGCTTTTCACTTTCCCCTTGGTAAGTACTCCTGAACTTTGCAAGAAGATTGGAATTACTTTCAGTATTTCCATAGGCAGATTCCAGAGCAACCAGATAATCAGTAGCTGTGGCAGCTGGATTACTAACCTTTAGAAACCGAACTATGTCTGAAGCGGGGCCCCGCAAACTCTCAACAATACGCTGCCTTTTCACAGAATCAGCACACTGCCACTCGCTGATCATTTGGACAGCCTGTTTCATCCAGGGGTCATATTCTTCCTCCCCAGCAGGTACTGGTTTTACACCTGAAAATACTCTTAATCTCCCATGACCCAAAGTGTCACTGGGCACATGGATACACTTTTCCACAAGGCGATCAATAGCATTTGCCAAATCAAGATTAACATTTACATTAGAGGACTGACCTTGCTCCAGCATAGACTTCACATCCTCCAGCGACATACCTTCCTGCTGCAACAAGGACAACAACTTATCCTGAAAAACAGCGTCTCCCACAGGTACATGTACCCTCCATGGGCCCACCTCATCAGGAATCCATATCTCTGGTGGTACAGTATCTGGATCAATATCATTACTGGTTTCAAGCAACAAGAACAACTTAGTTCCTGTAGGGTCTCCCCGTTTACCATTAATTTTGGGATGCCCAAATGCCTTCACTCTATTAAGTAGTGATAGTCTCATCCCTCACATCTATTGGGACATCACTGAGTATTAGACAACGAGACGGATTTATTTGCGCCTGATGGCTCCATTCACCAGCCTTAGAAATATCCATGTCTCACAATGTTTCACAACACAAATAAAAGAGGGAGAAAAAAAATCCAGAGAAAACACAAATCCCAGCAGTGCCTCCAAAAATTTAACACTACTGTTAAGTGTGTGTAAAACAGCAAGACCTGGGCTTCAGCAATTGATGGTGAGTTGGCTGGGTTATCTCTGGAAAGTTATGTTTTATAGAAATTAGATTTTCTGATGCGGTGCCTCCAAAAATGTGTTAACTATACACAAAGAAAATAGTTTGTGTACTCTGTTACTCTTGAGTAAATAAAATTAATTCCCCTATTTGTTATGGGCTGTTCTCTTTATAAACCACACTGTAATCAAGTTACTCAATGAAAATATACAGTGAAACAAATACAAAAGTAGTAACAAATAAAGAATTGTTTATTTTTACCAAACAAAAACTCTAAAATTTAAATTAGAAAAAAAACTGCAGCCTCAAGTGGATAATACCAGTTATTAGTTAGTTGCAGTTGTATACCTCTATGAATCCAAAACTGTAACTTTAGTTCACTTTAATTAACAGTCACTTTTGGCAAATAACCACCCCTGAAAACACTCCAATACAGTCCGTGACTCATCTGGGTCCTCAGATCCCGAAGAGACAATAGAACAACGCCACAGTCTGTGCCACAGTATCTCACAGAAGTGAGTACACCCCTCACATTTTTGTAAATATTTTATTATATCTTTTCATGTGACAACACTGAAAAAATTACACTTTGCTACAATGTAAAGTAGTGAGTGTACAGCTAAATTTGCTGTCCCCTCAAAATAACTCAACACACAGCCATTAATGTCTAAACCGCTGGCCACAAAAGTGAGTACACCCCTAAATGGAAATGTCCAAATTGGTCCCAAAGTGTCAATATTTTATGCGCCCACCATTATTTTCCAGCACTGCCTTAATCCTCTTGGGCATGGAGTTCACCAGAGCTTCACAGGTTGCCACTGAAGTCCTCTTCCACTCTTCCATGACGACATCACGGAGCTGGTGGATGTTAGAGACCTTGCGCTCCTCCCCCTTCCGTTTGAGGATGCCCATGCTTGGCCAATCCATCACCTTTACCCTCAGCTTCTTTAGCAAGGCAGTGGTC